CAACAACCACAGGTGAGAGGGAAACACGCCCAATCCTGCCTCCCTTCCGGAAATCACCTCCATAGCCCTGGCAGGTGAGCAGAGAGAAGGTGAATCTCTGAGGCCTTTCACCCATGGTCCATCTCACTGACCGGCTCAATCCAAGGGACACCTCCTCCAAGAGGCCTCCCAGATCATCCTGCTGCTTCACCAAGAAACTCCCCTGAAATCGGCCGATGTATTTGTTTGATTAGGTAGCATTTATCCCCTGCTAGCATGCGAGTTCCATGAGAATGGGGGATTTGTCTGTCTACCAATCAGTCCTCTGTGCTTCACACAGGGTAAACCTGCCCTTTGTGGAGTGACAGAATTTCGCAACGATTTCAGTTCTTAGTCACATGAGTACCACTGTTGGTGCCACCTTCTTAGGGGGTGAAGAGAGAAGGGCCCATGTTTGTGATGTCTGGCATGCCCCAGGCACTCGATCACAATCCATCCTTACCATCTCCAACGAGGAAGCATCACTGTTCACACCCTTACATTTGAGGAGACTGAGGCTCAGAGAGGACAAGTGACTTGACATTTTGCGTCGCAGAATACCAGAGCAAGAACCAAACTCAAAAGCCCAAGTTTCTTTCTCCAAAGAGTCTGGGGCAGCGGGGTGGGTGGGGGGCGCGGGTGGTGACGAAATGACACAGTCTAGTCCCAGCCCGACCAGCTCACCTTCTTCTGGGCCACCCTCATACCAGTCCTGCAGCTTCAGGGTAAGAAGAGGGAAGAAACAAGAAATGCAATTTGTTCAGACCCAGACTGCCACTGGCCCATCTCTGCGCTGGCCTACCAGTGACATTTTCTCGTTTATCTCTCCCAGTAGAATGCATGTCCACAAGGGCAGTGATCATTTCTGTTGTGCTTAACCAACAAAACCAGGCCCGTTGGATGTAAACCACTGTGTCCAATGGGCCTGCACAGACTCAGAGCTCAGCATAACCCTAATAAAGGCTAAATGTCCCTCTGCATCCACGGGGACTAGCACAGCACCTGGCCCAGAAAAGCAAGTGCTCAGAAGGTGATGTGCTGGGTAGGGAATGGTGACGTCCCTTTCCACGCTGCTTAATAAATGACTGGCTGTGGAACATTTCCAAGGCTATTGAGGCTGTTTAAACTCTGGCATTATTTTTCATCCAGTATTAAAATTGGGTTTTTACTACAAAAATGGAACTATGCAAAAAGGAAGATTCCATCCCTAGTCTGCTAAGAACCACATCCATAGTGGGTTAAAAAAAATAAAGGGACCAATTTCTAGCCATATCAGGTGAACAAACAAAGTATCTGTCCCTTTTCCCCATTTGATCTAAAAATAAAGGCGCCAGCTCTGAATTCCTCTGACAGCACCTGATTTAAGCTCTGATTTTGCCTCAGAAAAGGCGCAGCCATTGGCTCTCCCTCAATAGGGTACAATGCTACCAATTAGTTAACTTAGACATTTAAGCTGTCACACAGGGTGAACTGCAGGCTCCCAGGCAGGATCCCTGCAGGGATCATCCAGTTTCTTCTCTGCTTTTCTAGAGCACCCTGGAGCCCTGAGAACCACTCACTTCTTAGGGGAGGGGCTACATCACCCCCTCATGATACCTGCTTCTCTAACCACTTTTACAGCCAAAAATTCCTCCCGGTAGCAGCCTAAATCTTGCATAGCACTATGACAGATTGTCTCCTTGCTCAACCCCCAGCAGAGAATGATGGAAGCTCATTCCTGAGGTCAGGCAGCCAAGAGTATGAAGCAGAAGACCTATTTCAAGCCCCAACTCAGTGTCTTGCCAGGTAGAAGAGTTGGGACAGGCCCCTGACTTTGCTTTAAGAAAAAGGAAAATAAGGTATTAATAGGACTGCGTCTACCTACTTCACAGGGCTCTTGTGAGGATTACACAGAGGTGAGGACTTCTTCCCCCTTGGGCCATGTGCTCCTTAAGGACTGAGCCCTGCCTCGCTCCCACCTGCTACTCGCCAACATTTACTGCGCCCTCACCAGGTGCCAGGCGTCAGTGTCACAGGAACCATCTCCTTTCACCCTCAGGATAATGCTGCAAAGTGACTGTGAGTATCTCAACTTTCCAGTGAAGAACTGAGGCTCAGAAAGGTTACATCACTTGCCCAAGGTCACACGGCCACTGGATGGTTGGGCAGGGATCCACCTGGATCTGGCAGAGGCGACAGCCCAGCTCTCCCCCACTCTGGCACCCTGCCCCTTATAGGAAGAGGTATCTCAGAGGTATCATCTCTGTACCTTCCTGCATGGTGCAGCTGGCAAGAACACCAGGCACACGACACATGCAAGCACTTGCCAAGCTGAGTGTAACATACTTCGTACAGCAAACAGGAAGATGCAAGTGTAAGATGCTATTAATCAATAGTACCTTTTGTAATAATCATGCAAGTCTGCATTCGGTCGGTTTAAATCAGGGAGTGACGACTAGAGTGAGGTGGTAGATGAGGAAGAAGAGGTATGTGGCTCTCTGAAGCAACAGGCACATAATCCTATTCCTCAATGACTCCGAGCTATATATTATCATCCTCATTTTATAGGCGGGAACACCAAACTCAAATCTTCAGCTTCCTAAACCTGAAACCAGTGGGTTTTATTTCCCAAAGACTCTGCTACCAAGATTCTCCGGACTTACTGCGACAAGGGGTCATCTGATTCCTTGGCACAATTCCCTTTGCCACCCAGGGACACCTCCACTATGGCCAGAAACCCACACTGTTTGGCTGAGAGAAAACCAAGTGAGCCAGTTCTAGCATAGTCAGGTCAGACCTGTGAGGAGGCCTCATTTCACCTCCCCAGCTTTCCTCCTTCCCACATTCTGACAAAGACAATCTCAAAACAGAACCCCCAGGGTTTTTGCCCTGGTTTAATGGAAAAAACACAAAAAGGCCATGAATGAGCTGTTTGTTATCCTGGTCCTCACAATGAAAAATTGAAATAACGAATGGTCAAGTGGATGGGTTGTTCAGGTTTGGCTTGGACCTGAATCCAGTCTTAGGTACATATCAGGACCTGCCCGTGAGGTCTTGAGCTGGGCACTGGGGACACAGGGGGGGAATAAAGATGACCTCCAGATCCTAAGTTCAAGGATCTTCCAGCTCGGAGTGCCAACCTCACAAATGACTCTAAGCCGAGCCGAAAACCACAGAGTAGGAAACAAGGATGCCAATCAACAGAAGCAAAAAGGCTCAATGAAAGAGGCAGCATCACGACAGGCACTGAGGAACACATGACGTTTCCAACAGGTAGAAATGAGGCATTCTGGGAAGACGCAGCAGCGTGAACAACACGGGCAGGAGAGGACATTGGAAACGGTGTGGAATGTTCTAGTCTGGATTGTGTGAGGACGTGCAGGGATGGTTAGTCTAGAACTAGAACACCGAGAACCACAGGCACTGTGCTGGTAAGTTTGGACTTCATTCCACCATCAGTGAGAGCCTCCATCAGTTTCTCGGGCGGGCAGTGACACAAAGGGATCTGCTTCAGGGTCCTTCATTCCGTCAGCAACAGGGACGAGACTAGAAGCTCCCGTCAACAGGGGGGCTGCATCTCTGCTCACAAAACAGGGCTCTCTCCAATTCCTGCCTTAGAAATGAAAATTCTAGGCTAGATTCAGGGAATGAGAGAAGCAGTCACAGGGCAAGGATGAGAGGGGCCCCAGTGCCAGCTTCCCAAGCCTAGAAACTTCCAGCTCGCCATCAGCTCTGCACCTCTCTTGGGCTGCATTTGAATAAAACATTAAACAGAGCTGGAACTAGGGTGGTCCCCATGGTGGGGGCTGGGCGCTGGAAACTTTGGAGCATTAGCCGACAAACAGGCTGTGCTGTGTAAACTCCCAGGGCAAATGCAAAGTGTGAGCTAATCTTGCCACCATCACAAGTTCTCTGAGCTGAGGATAATGTATGATAATCTAAATCGGGCTGGGCAGATGCCTGCCTGGGAAATCTGATTAGGATTTGCCTGATGACTCCCTTTCATCCCCCAGGAGACCGCAGGGCCTGGCAGGCAGAAACTGGCAGGAAGACTGACATGCCCCCAGAGGTCCAGGCCCCGAGGCACTCATGTGCTGGACCTCCACTGGTGGCTAAAGGGACACAAGGACAGTCACCTGCAAAGAACTTTGCACAGTGGACTCACAGGAACAGCATGATCAATACATGGCTAAAGAGATCAGAGCCTCGCTCTGGACACAGACCACATACAAAGCGCAGGCTCAATCAAGCCACTTCTTTGCTTAACATCCTTCAATGGATACCATCGATTCAGGAATGAAGTTTAAAATGCTCAAGAGGGCTCGCCTCTCCAGCCCTCACCACCTGCGGCTCCCTACTACCTAAAACTTGACACCTTGACAATAAATGAACTGCCAGCAGCTTCTGTCCTATGCCACACAGGCCTCCAGGCCTCTGACCTACAGCCCCCTCCATCTGAAATGCCCCTCTTCTCCTGGCGAGATCTTACTTGCTCTTCAAAACAAAACTCAGACGTCTCCTCCTCTGGGAGGCTTTTCCTGAACATTGTCTCAGCTCTTGGTTATTCAACAAGTATTTGTCATGCTTACTATCCGTAGATGCTAAGTACATACTATATAATCCCTGCTTTATAATGAGGGAGACCGGAGAGCATAACTTGCCGGAAGGCGCACAGACACAGCCAGGACTTCATCCCACACTCCAGCCTGGATTCCAGAGCCCTCGTCTGAAGGACCTCCCTCCCCTCACTTAACCTCTGGGTCAACATTTCTGTCTCTGGATTTGTCTTTCCCACGAAACTGTGAACTCCCTGAGGGCAGAGGTAGCCCGACCCATCCCTCTGGCCAGCACGGGGTGCCAGCCCGCTGCAGGTGCTCACTCAGGAGTCCCTGAGCTGGAGGTCTCCACCTGGTCAGTACAGGTGGCCACAGCAACATCAGGCTAAGCTTCTATGCTCGAGCTGTCCTCCCTCCAGACCCACACCCTCAACTCTGGCCGCCCACCTTCCAGGCCCATGTCGTCAATTTCCACAGCGCCCTGGTGAAGGAATGTGGATGGGTTAGCGGAGAATCACCCCCATGACATGCAAAGCAACTCCTAGTGTGTTTATTAGGTACAAAGCACCCACACTTGTGTTCTCTATGTGAATGGTCTCCATCGTGAGAACCCCATGGAGAGCCCCCATAGTCTCAACCAGGAACAGACAGGTAACGCCCTATGCAAACACATAGCCTTTTATGATACATAAACATATCCTTTAAAACACCCACTACTCCCAGGAATCTTTATGGTACACTCACTCTGCAGCAGAGACTATGAATAAAGGATTAGAAAGTGCCTGTCCTTAGTGAGCATTTGGCAAGGCCAGTGAGCAGGCACTAAGGTCTACGCATGGTGTGACACCAACCTGCACGGGGTCACAGAAGGAGGAATGGCTAATTTACAAAGATGAAAGCAGGAGAAAGTCCACAAAGGGGCATGGAAGGCACCCTGGTGGGCAAACCATTATTCACGGCGTAAGCATCTGGGTCAGTGGTTCTCAGACCCGACTTCCCAACACAATACGGATTCCTGGATCTCACCTCCTGAAAGGAGCATCACGGTGGTGCCGCCCGAGATTCTGCACTTGTAAGTTCTGCAGGTGAACATCCCGTCAGCTCCTGGCACCTGCCGGCCAGCGTGGGCCGAGCTCCTCAGTGTGAGAGAAGGTAAAGAACCCCTCCCAAGCTGGTGGGAGAGCAGCAGAGATTCTGGGGGTTTCAAGTAAAAGTAACACCCACGTCCCAGTGAAATCCTGAGGGGCCTCTTGCCCAGCCTAGCCCAGCACAGAGACAGCAGGGAAGCCTCATCAGAGCCCAGCTCGGGGGGCGAGTGCAGAAGGCACAGGGCACTAAGACGATGGCCTTCTCCATGGAGGTGCATGTGCCCCAGCCTCTCTGCGACTCCTCTACCACCCCCTTCTCCCTCCTACCCTCAACGCCTCTCTGAGTTCCTGGAGGGTTCCAAGACCACACCCACCCCCGGCTATCTCTGAGCCCTGCCCCTTCAGATGTTCCTTCTCATCCCTCAGGCCTCATCTCAACGGCCCCCTCTCACCACCGTGGCCCTGCCGTCCACCACTGCCACCTGCTTACTCCCTTCACAGGCCTTACCCAAGTCTGTGGTCATTCTGTCTGTCTCACCGACCTTTGAGTGTTGCACCCAGCACAGCACGTGGTGCAGAGTGTATGAACGAAACAGCAAGCAAAGGGCGGGGCGGGGTGCGGTCGGGACAAAGACAGGAGTAAGTGGAAAGGGTCAGGTGGGAGAGGAGAGGGGAGGAGAGACAGGGAGGATGAAACAAAAGGAAAACTGCCTTTCTTGTGTCCTGGGTGGCCAGGGCTATTTTTATTTCTTGTTCTTCTTGCTCTGGAGGCCTATGAAGGCATCACGCGGGTTGCACTCCATCCATTTCAAATTTACTTGCTCCAGGACTGAGGCCACCTTCTCTGAAGCCCCTGCCACCAGACGACAGCCACCAGCTGTCCCACCACTTGGCTGCCACCAGGAGACCTGTGGTTCATGAGTGAAGCAGGACCCTGGGATTCCTCACACAGATGCCTCTGGCTCCAGCACCAAAGGAGTCTCAGCAATTATTTTAATTTGTTGAGATTCTCTTCTTAATTCAGGAAACAGAAGCAGACAAATTAGCTACATTCGCATGACTTTAATACCTGACAGCTTTGTAGCTATCGCTTTTCCATACACGGCCCACTGAGGCTCCTAAGTCTTAATGAAACAAAGAAATAAATAAAATCTTCAGAAGGACTTCAGGGAACATGGTGGGATGGGCGTGTGATTAGGTGGGGGACTGCTGGGTGGCAGGGGCCCAGAGGGGGCCGTCTCACTGAGGGGCAGGCGGAAAATAGGTGTGAGCCCGGCTGGCACCTAAGGAGGCCCTGGCAGGACCACTGAGAAATGCCACGCAGGGAAGATGCAAGCTGTGTCTCCGCTAGATAAGGCTTTTCAAAGTACATCTTGGTAATTGAAAACAAAATGAATGTGGTATTGCTACAAGACAGACGGTGACAAAATGCAGTGCTCCATCCTGATAAGCCATGAGAAACGAAGTCTCCTAAAGGGGCTGAAGTGGGGATGGCAGCACATGGAAGCAAATTCCCTTGGAGAACAAATCTATCTGCACTGTAGAACAGGCGTGATTACTGGGAATCCAAAAAACCCCGTCCTCACAAGCACAAAGCCTCCCGCGGTCCACATCTGCACACGGGGCAGCTGGCCAGCTCGAGTCACCATCTTTAGCAAGACAACTCTCGGTCGCATGGCCCCTTCAGATGTTTCCCTCTCACTTTCCTTTCATGACCAACCATCTTGAAGGAGTTTGTAGGGGAATAATACTGGAGATCACACAGAGGCCTGGCGAGCTGGGCAGAACACGTTCATCAGCCACCCTTGCCCAGGGCACTCGCCTCACTGGCTGGACAGCGAAATAATGGCTGGGGCTATTCCTGCTACACTGTCTGTTCTGGACTGCACCCACTGTCACCAGCATCACCTTGGAAGGACACAATTCTACTCCAAGAAAATGTTTTCAAAGCCCTGGGCCAAACTGGACAAGGGAACTTTCCTCCAGCCTCATAAGACAACAGGAGGGGACAGAAGTCGGGGCATTGGGAGGACGCCGCAGTCTCCGTGACTTTATGAATCTCACTTGCTGGGTCCACTTACATAGGAGCAGAATCTGACTCCAGAGCCAAACTCATCTGTCCGTGAGCCGAGTCTCTGTGTTCCTTTCAGTCATGCCAGGGTGCTCAGGGCGCAGCTTGGGGAGGGACAAGGCGGGAAGCTTAGTGCTGGTCCCCGTCTGCTCTAGTCCTTCTGTCTCCACTGCCTGGCCCCCTGCACTCGGGCCCCCTTCCCTGTCACTCCACTCCGCAAGAACCGTTCTTACCAGGGGCCAATGACCTCAACGCCTCTAACTCCAAAGGCCACATCAGAGTCCTCCCTGGCCGGGCTCACACCTTCTGGACCCCTGGCCACGTCCTCCTTCCTTCCTGAACGTGTTTCTCCCTCTAGCTTCTGTGAAACTGCGACACTGCCCATCCCAGCCAACTCCTCGCCTCTCTGGCAGCTCCTTGGTCTCCTTGTCAACTCTCTTCCCTCTTTTTGTTCCTTACATTTTTGCTGTTCCTTGGGGTTCTGTCCCAGATTCTCTCTCTCGCTCATCTGCTCTCCCTGAAAGAGCACAGTAGCGCCGCCCCACTCCGTGGCCACAGACACCCCCTCATGCTGATGGCTCCCGGGCATGCTCCAGGCCCACGCGCCAGCGGCCTGCTGCTCTTCACCCAGGAACGGTCCACTGGAAACAGGGCAGGGACCGGGTCCAACATTTACCTCTGTTTCCTCTATGTTCATCTCTTCTTTCTGCATCCCTTACCTAGTCTTCCAAGCTAGACATTTCGTCATCGAGAACGTCTTCCTTTCTCTACCTCCCCACATCCAGACGCACCTTTCTATCCTATAGTTATCACTTCAATCAGACCCCTTCCCACCAACCTACCACAACTTCTCATCTATAGCAAATACCTCTTTATTGAGACGTCACTGGGTTCAAGCTTGATCTCCCTCCAATCTGCCATCATTATCTATCTCAAATGCAAGTGTAACTCATACATGCATTGAGCACCTACTGTATACTGGGCACTATGGACAACCAGGTACACTCACTCTGGGCATGCACATGGTGGCTGTAAGTTCCAGACAAGACACAAACTATTAAAGTCCAATACGTTCATTGCACAAATCTGTGTATAGTTCTGCAGGAGCCTGGGAAACAGAATGGTAAAGCTTTTCATGTCACTTCCTATCAACAACCCCCCATGATTCCCCTGTGGATGCCCCCAATGGAGCTGCCAGTGGTGGTGTCCTGACACACAGAGGGTCGTGACCCACTATGGTGGATGTGGTAATGGCCCAACAAAGGGGAATTTTCAGAGGTTATCTTCGTTAGAGCAGACACCAGGCTGCCAGTAATGACATACCTCTTGCTCAGCTGCTTTTCAATGTAGATGAAACAGCCTTCTACTGGAACAAGATACCATAGCTAGAGAGAAGTCAATGCCTGGCTTCAAAGGACAGGCTCTATTGTTAGGAGCTAATGCAGCTGGTGATTTTAAGTGGAAGCCAATGCTCATTTACCATTCCAAAAATCCTTGGTCCCTTCATAATGATGCTAGATGTACTCTGCCAGTGCTCTAGAAATGGAAAAACAAAGGCTGGATGACTGCACATCTGTTTAAAGCATGGCTTACTGGATACTTTAAGCCTACTCAAGACTTACAAAAAAATCCCTTTCAAAATATTACTGCTTACTGACAATGTACCTGGTCACCTAAGAGCTCTGATGGAGATGTACAGGGAGATTCATGTGGTTTTCATGCCTGCTAACACAATACCCATTCTGCAGCCCATGGATCAAGGAGTCATTTCGAGTCTTATTATCTGTGAGGTTATAGCTGCCATAGATAGTGGTTCTTCTGCTGGACGTGAGCAAAGTAAATTGAAAACCTTCTGGAAAGGATTCTAGATGCCATTAAGAACACTGACGATTCATGGGAGGAAATCAAAATATCAACATTAAGAGGAGTCTAGAAGAAATTCATTCCAACCCTCATGGATGACTTTGAGGGGTTCAAGACTTCAGTGGAGGATGTCACTACAGATGTGGTGGAAATAGCAAGAGAACTAGAATTAGAAGTGGAGCCTGGAGATACGACTGAATTACCGGAATCTCATAATAAAACTTGAATGGATGAGGAATTGCTTCTTATGGATGAGCAACGAAAGTAGTTTCCTGAGATAGAATCTATTCCTGGTGAAGATGCCATGAACATTGTTGAAACAACAACAAATGATATTGCACAGTATAGTGTAAACAACTTGTATTTGCACTGAGAGACCAAACAATTTGCATGACTCGATTTGTTGCCATGTTTGCTTTATTGTGGTGCTCTGGAATTGAACCTTCAGTATCTCTGAGGTATGCGTGTGCTCTGTGCTCCCACGAGTTTGGGACTTTTGTCTTACTGTTCTCCCTTCCTGAAACATTTTCCACCTTGTTTACCAGCTTTCAGTTCCTCCTCATCACATGTGGCAGCCCAG